TGTAATTTATTTATAGTGACATCGTGATCATTAGTATTCACTATTCTTATGTGGCAATTGCCTTTCGCTGGTACTATTGTATTAGCCATGAAGACACCTTTACTGATTTCTTTATTAAATAATACGGTATCTTCATCAAAATATACATCTACTAATAAGACACGTTCCGTTCTTACTTCAATAGTAATTGGTTTGCATACTATTGGTGTTTCTGATTGTTTATTGCCTGATTGTATGGTTAAAGTAAAAAAATAATAGTTAATGACTCCCATACATGTTGTCAGAAAATCTCTTCCTAAAATACCGTCTACTTCGATTGGAAAATCCTCTGTAACTACTGCGATAGTTTGAGTTATCCATATTCCTTCAAAAAGTAAGCTTAATTTGGATGTTCCTAGGGATAGTACATATTCACTCGTTATACCTGTTAGTTTATATGTATTGTGAGAGTTATAGTCAACGTTAAGGTTTTTTATAACACTTCGGCACCAGTATCTATTAATAATCTTATATTAGTGTTTAATTCAGAACAGAATATTGAAATGTAGTTAGACAGGGTTTGATTTAAAATTTTTACTGTACTTAATTCCGAACCAGTGGAGGGTTCTCCATTTCCACCTCTGGTTGCTCGTAGTTTTCTTGGGCGTCCATCGCACGTACGTATCTACGATTTGTATTTCTATAATAATTATTTTGTTATTTTGATTTCTTTGCATGTTATTATGGTTTGCTTGGCCATTATTTTGGTTTCTTTAACCAGTATTGTTGCATTGGTTTCTTTGCCCATTATTGTTATACTGATTTCTGTGGTTGTAATTGTTATTATTATTATAATGATTTCTTTGATTATTTCTAAAATGATTATTGTTGTTGTTATAATTGTTATATCTACCTAGCGAATTTGAATTATTTCTTCTCTGATAGTTATTTTGTGGCAGTGTGTTGCTACGGTAATGTAAAACACGTTGATTTTGGTCGGAAAATACTAAGTTTTCTGCCATTTTCCTAGCTTCTTGGGAAGATTTCGGTTGCGATGCCTGGATTGTTTGAGAATATGATGCATTTAGTCCTTTTTTGTACGCTAAGAGAGCGTGTTCATCATTGCAAAGTAATATCATCTTGCCTTCACTAGACATTGCGTTTACCTTCCGTTTTAGTAACGTTGCATTATTTAGATTAGTTAATAGTTGTGCCATCTTGTCGCTGAAATCCGTAATGGTCTGGGTGTGGCCTTGTTTCATCTCACTGATCTTTTGTATTAATTGCGACACTGACTCTTTAGATATGTATGCTTCTGTTAAAGCTTCTATTAATTGTTCTAACGAGTCTGGGAAGCCTACGGGCGTAACCCTAACTCGAACAGAGTGGTGTAGCTTGCAATCTACTATGTATTCAATGAAGTCTTGTTTATTTTCAGTCTGTACCTTATTGTTGTAATTCCTGAGTCGTCGGAGGTATCCGCTTAGTTCTTCCTGTTTACCATTGAAAGTTGGTAAAAATCTTTCGACGTCTTCTAATACTTTATCATAAGAATGTGTGTTAGAGCCATGTTTATGCTTTGTGCTGACATTGATATGACAATATCCTGAGAGTCTGCACCATTGGTTGTATTTCGGTCCACCCCTTCAGTCTCCTGTGTTTTACTGTTGTTCGTCACAACGGACATTTGTGTTAAGTAATTTTTGGTCAAGGAATATTTTTCTAAAAATATTTCTTTAAATGCTGATATTTGTTCGTAGTCTGATTGCGCGTAAATAGCATTTACTTCATTCCTCAGATAATATAATCTATCTTACTTCGTCTGTAATGTCTATGTTGTATATCCCCTAACAGTAGCCTTTTTAGCATTCTTTAGAATAATGAAAACTTCACTAATGTGTGAACTAATTTTGTCCATGTAATCATTGTGTTAAAAACAAAGGTGATTGAAATAGGAAACGACAAGAGTAAATATAAGGACCAAGAAACAAAAACATGTACAAAGAGTTTTATTATACAAAAAAAAAAAAAAATTATTCATTTGTTTAAGTTTCGTATATATAATAATTGAAATATATGTGTGTTGCAAATTGCAATTGTAACTGTAAATGTTATTGTAAATAATTTTTACATATATTTTTTTTTATAAGATAATTGTAGGGATTTTTTTTTATATTATTATTTTTAAATATATATATATATAAGTATTTTTTTTTTTTTTTTTTACAAAGGTTAAATTTCTATGCGCATGTTTATGGACATAATTTTTAAAATAGATATTAAGCTTGTGAGCTACATATATATTGTGATAAGTATTACAATAATAGTTGCTAAAACTACCTGTTCATGTGTTGTATTCTGGAGCTGCTGCAGATTGTTGGTGACGTCAGTTTTTTGTTGTAGGTTGACATTCTCGTCCTTCGAAAACCATCCCATTGTAGTTGTAGTATTCTGTGTACTTTTACCCTTAGCACTGTTCACTTCAATAGATGTGTTATGTCCTTATACACATCTCACAATATTATTTAATGTTATTATAATATATTTTATGTTTTTTTTTTCTATATATTTTTTTTTTAATTGTACTTTTAAAACACATTTTTCTAATGTTTTTTTTTCTTTAAGCATAAGAAAATTTGAGACTTTTAATTTCTTTCTTTTGTTTTTTTTTTTTTAGTTTATTGGTCCTTGTACTTTTTTGCGATCACATATTAATTTCACTTTATTCGCATATTATTGTTCACTTACAATATTCTTTAATTTTATTATATAACGTTTTATGAATATTTTTTTTTGGTACTTGTACTTTACAAGTCACATTTATGATTTAAATTTGAAACATTTAATTTTTGAATGTTTCAATTTGAAACTTCACATATTTACATTTAAATTTGAAACTTTTAATAATTAAACATTTTTTTTTTATATTGTATTTAGTCCTTCTACTGCAATTTTGCAGTGTGGCAGGATCGCCATGTGATGTGATTTAATTTGAGATTTAATGAAAACACATTAATTATATGAAAAGTTTATTTTTATTTTATTTAATCATTTATTAGTATATTATTATTATGATCTTAGTCAGATCACGTTCTACAATAGACTGTCTTCTGAAACTTATTCTAAATCTTACAATAGTTTCATTATTTATTTTTAAATGATATCTTTGTCTTATTCTAACAATAGTTAACTAAATCTAACAATAATCTCTTTATTCTAATTGGTTATTCTTATATACTTCACAATTATAATTTCCATATACTTCCTATTTATAAATGATACATTACTTAAAACAAGAAATGCATAGTAAGTACTTACTGTGCATTTGTTTGTCATGCGTCTCACATTCACATCTGTTCCGATTAGTGTGGTCTCAATATATTTGACACCACATGAGCTCTTAACCGAATTTCAAGTGGCAAATAATTTATGTCAGAAGTATCATTTTCTGACTCATGCCATAAATTACTAAAATGCAATGGTTAGCTTATTTAAATCAGAACATAAGTGTAAAGAAGAATATGAATGCAATAGTCACATCAAAGGCGGCCTTAACATTGAGTAAGGTCAACTATAGAGATACCATTACATTAGTACTCAATTCGGATAACGATTCGCGCAGATTTTTCGTTAGCGATTTATATTGCAAATTTTTTCATTTTTTCTTAACAAATCATAAGAATAAAAAAAACTATATATTACTCTGTTTATATTCGATCTATGTCAATGACCGTTTATTTATTTACATGCACTTCACACTTAAAGGTCAGCTATTTTTATGTGAGCGCTACTTCTGACACCATATACCTAGTTATTTAAACAAAAAGAAAACGTTATGTTTCGTAATATTTTTATTAAACTTCAAACTTTTATTAAATAAAAAACTACTTTAGTCGAAAATAAAATTTAGTCTTTATGAATTTATGTTGAACTTTAACTTTGCAAACTTATCGAATTTATCAAATTTACCAAATTTATCAATCTTCTCCAACTTTTATTTTTCACTTCTTTTACTTTAACTTTTCAAACTTATCAAATTTCTATTTTTACTTCTTCTTTTCTTGCTTTCATTTCCATCTTTGTTTAAATTTTACTGCCTTATCTTCCCTATTACACCACTTTATCAACATATATATTAATAAATTTCATATTTTCCAGGTAATTCCGACGTTGTTTGATTCGGGTGAATGTTTAATCATCGTGTCCTTATGTGTAATGTTGTAATTTATAGTGACAGTCTGACGCTGTCTTACACTTGTGATATGTGTAATAAAAATTTAATGTATAAATTTGTATCGTCACAAATTTTAATACGGGCTATAGTATTTTAAGTTTAATTAATTTATTATTTATTTCTATTTCTACAATAAATTTTTTTACAATATCTACATATATAGAATGTTTGTATTAGTGTCATTTCAATGTATATGTTTTAAATTTTGCCGGGCTTTAGGTCGTGGTTTTAAATTTATATTTTTATATAATAACTCGTATTATATAAAAAACAAACTTTAAATTAAATAAAAATGTCACAAACATCCGCGTCATCCTTAACGCGTATTTAAAGGAAATTGTTAATGTAACAACGATGTCTGATGGCTTACCAAATAGCTTACGCTTGCTATGTCACACCATTCCGCCAGCTGTGCATGCGTTAGAACAATTGGGTCTTCCAGTACAACATTGGGACGATTGGTTGGTTTTTACCCTTCTACACAAACTAGATACGAGAACACGCTCAGCTTGGGAGCTGTCAACGACTAGTTGAGAACAAATTCCAAAATTTGAGGAGTTGGTCAATTTCTTAGAAAATCGATTACAATTGCTTGAAGTAGTTAATAGTATGACCGATAAATCTAATCGAGAGAAAAAGTTTGCAATATCTACCAGAGCAGAGAGGTTTTGTAAAAGGCTATCATGCAACTATTCAACAACGTGCAAGGTTGTGCTTCAATTATTTGAGAACGGGACACATGTGTCATAGTTGCCCAACGAAATATCGGTGTCTGCTATGTAATGCAATGCATCATGCACTGCTGCATGAATATAATGGAAATGATGAAGAAACAAATCACTCAGATATACAGGAAAAGACCACCGAAGTGATACAAGATACTCGAGCATTACACCTTCCGGCTGTTTTAATTGGCACTGCATTGATAGAGGTAAGAAGGCTTATTGTGCCTGCTCTTTTGGATAGCGCGTAGGAAGCAACGTTTGTCAACGATCTCATCGCCCAGCGATTAGAACTGGACAAAACAAATGTCAAAATGCCGGTAAATGATGCTAATGGTGAAAAGGTCGCCAATTCAAGAGAACTGGTTTCATTTACAATCCATTTGTTAAAATCCGATTTCAAAATGAATTGTTTTATGCTTTTTAATATATTTTAAAGTTGAAGTGCTTAGACGCGTTTTTGTTTGCTCTGCTTTCAAATACTATAAATAGAGAAAGTGCGGATCTTTAAATAAAAAATTTGCTTAAATTTGCTTAAAATTCCACTGCTTATGTTGAAGCTTGGAAGTGAATTTTGAATTATTTCAGTTTTAATTTCGATATACATTAAAAACAACAAACAGATTGCGGCAAACTAAAAAAAAAACTTAAAATGAGTGTTTAGCGTTCTTCCCCTGAGCGCGGAAATAAACAAGTTATTGAGGGAGTATGTATACAAACAAATAAATTTACTAATTTATTGCCGTTTTCTTCTGCACGCAAAAGTGATCTTCTCACAGCGCATAGGTTAGGTAATACCGGTGATCCCTAGTGGATCTACTTAGGCCTATTGGTCTATTGTTATACCGTATATATCGGGTGAAACCTCAGGGTTTAAAACCACTTAGAACCTTTTGCGAACCATAAAATGCTATTTAAAGTCAGATCCTGTAACTGGTCCAAGTCTTGATGGAAGGGGGCTAATAAAGTACTAAGTCGCCGACGTGCATGGACTGGGCAAAAACAAGGTAGCTTTTAGTCTTAGAGGAGATGAAGCTGCCATTTGTTTACTAATAATATCCATTGGCAGTAACTAAAGCATCAAATCTAGTGCAATAGATGGTGTGGTGCATAGCGCCCCGCTAATACAGAGTTCAGCTCTACGCTGAATCCTGTTAAGTACCGAACAGTACGAAGCTTTATCAAGAGCTGTCCACCATACCGTAATACCATACAGCAATATGGGCCTAATAACAGCTATATATAGCCATTGAGTGATGCGAAGTTGAAGATCCACTTCATACCAATAACCTTCTGACCTTCTGATCGAAAACTATACCTAAAAATTTGGCTTCCTCCTCCACATGTAACACAGAACCTCGTAGAAAGGGTTGAGAAAGATTTGGGACCGTATGCTTTCTGGTGAAAACTACAATTTCAGTTTTATTGGGATTTTCCCAAAGGCCACATTTTTGTGTCCATTTGTTTAGGATATTAAGACCGTTTTGCAGAATATCTCTAAGAGTGGTAGTATATTTTCCGGTAACTGTTATCGCAATATCATTCGCATATGCAATATTTTCGCACCCCTCTGCTTTCAGTTTTATTAGCAGTTCATTCACCATTATGGTCTAGAGGAGAGAAGAAAGTACTCCTCCTTGGGGGGTACCTCTATTCACCCCTCTGCGTGCTGTTAAAGAGCCCATCGTTGCTTCAATGAGTCTGCCAGTTAGCAGCTGATTTTTAAAGCCAATGAGCACATCATTAACACCCAGATGCGAAATCGCGCTTACTATTGCACTCAGTAGTACATTGTTGAAAACCCCTTCAATATCTACGAAAGCAATCACACAAAATTTTTTGATTTGAATGGATTTTTCTATTCTATATGTGAGGGAGTGAAGAGCTGTCTCCGTAGATTTTCCCTTTGTATAGGCGTGTTGTGAAGGGGACCACTGATTGAGGTTTACAGCACGCTTAACTTCTTCATCTATGATTCTTTTAAGATCCTTTAACATGAAAGAAGAAAGGTTAACTGGACGGAGTTCATTGGGGTTAGGTGTGAGGTTTTTCCCGCTTTGGGTATAAAAACTACTCTAACCTCCTTCCATTTAATCGGACCATAGTTAAATATAAAACAAAGTCTAAAAATTTGCCAAAAGCCGGTTGTGTATTAAATCCCAGGATTTCTGGAGCTCAGTTGGATGAATACCATCCGGTCCTGGTGATTTATAGGATCTAAAACTAAAAATAGCCCATTAAACTATCTACAGGTTTAATTTAATAGAGTTGACCGGTGAGAGATTAAGGTACTCTGTGGATGTAGTTACCGAATTAGAAGATCCCGGAAAGTGAGTATCTAGTAGTAATTCTAATGATTCACTACTATTGTTGCACCATGTCCCGTCAGATTTTTTGAGTAACTCAGTGTCAAATGGATTTTTGATAAGATTTTACGCTGTCTAGAGGTTTCGGAATTGCTGTTTGTTTCCTGACGTAAATTTTTCTTATATTCTTGCAGAGAGATTTTATATTTTGCCAATCACTCTCACTATTATTTAATTTTACCATATTCAAAAGTCTCCTACACTCCTTTCGTAAAAGACCTAAGTGGGTTGTATTTTCAACATTTCTAAACGTTTGCTCGTTGTAGATGTTCGATTCATCTAAGGTTAAGGTGAATTCTAGAATCATGTGGTCTGAGAACGAGTACTGAGTGGACACTTTCCAGTCCTTGCCCGATTCATGAAGCCTAGCAGTAGCAAGAGCAACATCTAATACTTCCATCATTACATATAAAAACATTGTTACTAAAAATAAAATCACAAAGTAACTCGCCTCTTTCATTAGTGTTTGAGCTGCCCCAAACCTCACGATGAGCGGAGGCATCGTAGCCTATTAGAAGCTCTTGTAGTGTCATATCAGACCATGACCACACGCAATTCAATGTGTGCGATATGATGATCTGACACTTTAACCCAAAACACTTCAAATCATTATTTATAACCCAGAAACCCAAATTGTATAGCACAATAATTTATGAGTTGGTAATTCGACTCCTTTGTTTTGTCATTTCTTTATGACAAACGTTTTAGTGCATAGCGAAGTATAATTACTTCAGCATGTGCTTGGTAATTTGGATTTCGGAATCTAGAACATATTAAAATATGTCAAGTGTTGTGCGGATCATATTGCAAGCAATTGTGCATGCAATATGATTTGCCCTCTTTTACATTTGGTCACCATATGTGTGTCAACTATTAAGAAATGATATTGTTGACCAATGACGTAAGTATATAGAAACTAAGAATTATATTAACCAATAGAATTTAAGTAAATAATAAAATGTAAAATAGATTATTGTAAAACCGAACTATGATCGGTATGAAAAATATAATTGTACGACAGTCTGGTTCTGAACGTAATCTTGAAGAGTGTACACTAAGTTTGTCAATATACTTATCATAAATGATAAATAATATAAATAACTAAATTTTATACTAATAAAAAAAATGTGTTTGAATTTTAAAACTATGGACATAAAACCCCACATGGCGATCCTGCAAATTTGCCAAACGGCAAACGGAAATATTAACTAAATAATATATTTAAAAAAAACTTTAATTTCATAAAAAGAACTGCATTCGGCTCTAGAATCAATGTGCTAAAAGAAAAATAAAAAGTGAACTATTTTTACAAAAATTTAAAAATTTGAATAAATTTAAATGTTATATCCTCTATACAAAAAAAAAAAAAGAAAAACAATGTGCTATTAGAAGTAAAGAGTGAAAGTGAATTAATTTTACAAGATTTAAAATTTTTTTTACTATGCAAAAATTTCACTGCTTTGTTTGTGGCAAAAGCTTCAAACATAAATATATTTTAAACAGGCACTTATATAAGCATAATTATATAATAAAGTATGCAAATGCCATAGTAAAAGACAATGACAGACAACATTGAATATAAAAACTACAAATAATAAATATGAGCAAATAAATGTGAAAATATATACAAAAATAAAAGAAAAATCCAAAGAAAATTTAAATTATATTTCTAAAAATTAAAATTTGTACTTTAATGTTTTTAAACTTAAAACTTATAGCAAAAGTATGTGAAATTTATACATAAAAGCATAAAAACGAAAAATAAAATATTTTGTTAAACAAAACATAAACAAACAAGAAAGGAAAGCAATAAAAATAAAAATCTAACAATTGGAAAAATACTGAAGAGTACTGAAGAATAATGGGCTGGTTTTCACAGGACGTACCTAAAACGGAACAGAAGACAACAACCAATAATCTACAAACAGTTGCTGTCAACACAGGACATGAACAGGTAATAGTAATTACAATAGTTGTAATAATAGTTATATTATAAATCGCACATAAAATTAATAAATATATAAAAAAATACGTGCATAAGCATGCACACAGAAATTTATCAAACGATGTATAATACAACATAATATATTACAACTTACTATACAAAAGAAAATTTTTGAAAGAAACAAAATCTGTTTAAACAAAAATAGAATATTTTAAATAAAATTTTTTTAATTGCATTTATAAAAAAAAAAAAAAATTATATTAAAATTATATTGAAAACTATCATTATATATATATAAAAAAAAAATACAATGAAAAATATATGTTATTATTATACCAATCTGAATACAAATTGTATTAAATTATATTAACTATATTAAAAGAATTACATAAATGAATTACTAAATTTAAAGTAATAGAAATGAAAATTATACTGTTTAAATATTCTTTAATGGTCATTGTTTCATTACCTTTGAATAAAGTTGTACGCGAACGATAATACCTATAAATATCGTATTATTTCGTATTTTTACTAATATTGTCTCTGATATTTCTTTCTTTTATTGTTGCTCTACTCTGTTCAATTCCCTCATATTTATGTTGGTTGATATAATAAAATATTTCCCTTTTTCTAAAACACTTTAATGGAAATTATTAGTACTCACATAAGTGAAGTACAAAGTATACTAAGAAACGCAAGGAAAGCTAGTGTAAGAGGATACACTAAGCAAACGATAGAAGAGAAACTAAATAGATTAGAATACCTGAAAAATTGTGTTAGCTCAATATATATTGAATCCAAATTAGTAGAATCCCAAAACCTCAAAGAAATATTTTTTGAAAAATATTCGATTACACATAAACAACTTATTAAAATGTCATTAACCGAACAAACTGACAACTTAATAACCCATAACCAACCCATACCAAACCCACCAAGGACAACACAAAATACAAACACAAGGATGGCTTCGTATGACTCAATTCTGGAAAACGTAGAAAAGGTTCTACCCACATTTCAAGGAAGACAAGAGGAATTAAGTTCATTCCTCCATAGATTACAATTGTACGATAAGAAGATAACAGAAGAGAACAAACAAGAGTTCTTAGAATCAATCTGTTACAGAATTCAGTGACAAGATGGCCAAACTACTTTCAAGTCTTAATAACATCTCTTTACTTAAGAGAAAGTATAATATAACTTCACCACAAGATGAAGGCATTCTTATAAGCAATGATGAACACGCATTGTTAGCCTATAAGAAAGGACTTAATGCAACCTACTCACAAACAGTACAGGCTGCACAACCTAAATCTTTTCAAGAAGCTAGGGACTTTGCGGAAAATTTAGTTTTTCCAGATCAACGACAACAGGTTTTATATACTCAACACTACCGTGGCAATATGTCGCCACAACAATACAATCAAAGGAGAAATTTCTCTAATCATTTGAATAGGAATAATCAAATAAGAAACCAATATAATAATAATAGGCAGCATAATAATCAAAGAAATCAATATAATAATCAAAGAAATCAATTTAATAATTACCAAAATAATAACAGTTCAAGAAACCAATATCAAGGAATTCAACGTAACAACAACCAAAGGTACCAACGTAACAATGGTCAAAGAAACGAAAACTATCAACATAACCAGAGAAACACCTATAACAGAAATATGAACCAAAGACATGTTCGCTTAACATCATCACAGGAAAACTACATGCGACCAGAGGAAAACCAGTAGAACTCTCCTCTGGTAAAAATAAAAATAATATCTACACATACAACCCCAATAGCTGCCCCAAAACCTCACGATGAGCGGAGGCATCGTAGCCTATTAGAAGCTCTTGTAGTGTCATATCAGACCATGACCACACGCAATTCAATGTGTGCGATATGATGATCTGACACTTTAACCCAAAACACTTCAAATCATTATTTATAACCCAGAAACCCAAATTGTATAGCACAATAATTTATGAGTTGGTAATTCGACTCCTTTGTTTTGTCATTTCTTTATGACAAACGTTTTAGTGCATAGCGAAGTATAATTACTTCAGCATGTGCTTGGTAATTTGGATTTCGGAATCTAGAACATATTAAAATATGTCAAGTGTTGTGCGGATCATATTGCAAGCAATTGTGCATGCAATATGATTTGCCCTCTTTTACATTTGGTCACCATATGTGTGTCAACTATTAAGAAATGATATTGTTGACCAATGACGTAAGTATATAGAAACTAAGAATTATATTAACCAATAGAATTTAAGTAAATAATAAAATGTAAAATAGATTATTGTAAAACCGAACTATGATCGGTATGAAAAATATAATTGTACGACAGTCTGGTTCTGAACGTAATCTTGAAGAGTGTACACTAAGTTTGTCAATATACTTATCATAAATGATAAATAATATAAATAACTAAATTTTATACTAATAAAAAAAATGTGTTTGAATTTTAAAACTATGGACATAAAACCCCACATGGCGATCCTGCAAATTTGCCAAACGGCAAACGGAAATATTAACTAAATAATATATTTAAAAAACTTTAATTTCATAAAAAGAACTGCATTCGGCTCTAGAATCAATGTGCTAAAAGAAAAATAAAAAGTGAACTATTTTTACAAAAATTTAAAAATTTGAATAAATTTAAATGTTATATCCTCTATAAAAAAAAAAAAACAATGTGCTATTAGAAGTAAAGAGTGAAAGTGAATTAATTTTACAAGATTTAAAATTTTTTTTTACTATGCAAAAATTTCACTGCTTTGTTTGTGGCAAAAGCTTCAAACATAAATATATTTTAAACAGGCATTTATATAAGCATATTTATATAATAAAGTATGCAAATGCCATAGTAAAAGACAATGACAGACAAAATTGAATATAAAAACTACAAATAATAAATATGAGCAAATAAATGTGAAAATATATACAAAAATAAAAGAAAAATCCAAAGAAAATTTAAATTATATTTCTTAAAATTAAAATTTGTACTTTAATGTTTTTAAACTTAAAACTTATAGCAAAAGTATGTGAAATTTATACATAAAAGCATAAAAACGAAAAATAAAATATTTTGTTAAACAAAACATAAACAAACAAGAAAGGAAAGCAATAAAAATAAAAATCTAACAATTGGAAAAATACTGAAGAGTACTGAAGAATAATGGGCTGGTTTTCACAGGACGTACCTCAAACGGAACAGAAGACAACAACCAATAATCTACAAACAGTTGCTGTCAACACAGGACATGAACAGGTAATAGTAATTACAATAGTTGTAATAATAGTTATATTATAAATCGCACATAAAATTAATAAATATATAAAAAAATACGTGCATAAGCATGCACACAGAAATTTATCAAACGATGTATAATACAACATAATATATTACAACTTACTATACAAAAGAAAATTTTTGAAAGAAACAAAATCTGTTTAAACAAAAATAGAATATTTTAAATAAAATTTTTTTAATTGCATTTATAAAAAAAAATTATATTAAAATTATATTGAAAACTATCATTATATATATATAAAAAAAAAATACAATGAAAAATATATGTTATTATTATACCAATCTGAATACAAATTGTATTAAATTATATTAACTATATTAAAAGAATTACATAAATGAATTACTAAATTTAAAGTAATAGAAATGAAAATTATACTGTTTAAATATTCTTTAATGGTCATTGTTTCATTACCTTTGAATAAAGTTGTACGCGAACGATAATACCTATAAATATCGTATTATTTCGTATTTTCACTAATATTGTCTCTGATATTTCTTTCTTTTATTGTTGCTCTACTCTGTTCAATTCCCTCATATTTATGTTGGTTGATATAACAAAATATTTCTCTTTTTCTAAAACACTTTAATGGAAATTATTAGTACTCACATAAGTGAAGTACAAAGTATACTAAGAAACGCAAGGAAAGCTAGTGTAAGAGGATACACTAAGCAAACGATAGAAGAGAAACTAAAAAGATTAGAATACCTGAAAAATTGTGTTAGCTCAATATATATTGAATCCAAATTAGTAGAATCCCAAAACCTCAAAGAAATATTTTTTGAAAAATATTCGATTACACATAAACAACTTATTAAAATGTCATTAACCGAACAAACTGACAACTTAATAACCCATAACCAACCCATACCAAACCCACCAAGGACGACACAAAATACAAACACAAGGATGGCTTCGTATGACTCAATTCTGGAAAACGTAGAAAAGGTTCTACCCACATTTCAAGGAAGACAAGAGGAATTAAGTTCATTCCTCCATAGATTACAATTGTACGATAAGAAGATAACAGAAGAGAACAAACAAGAGTTCTTAGAATCAATCTGTTACAGAATTCAGTGACAAGATGGCCAAACTACTTTCAAGTCTTAATAACATCTCTTTACTTAAGAGAAATTATAATATAACTTCACCACAAGCTGAAGGCATTCTTATAAGCAATGATGAACACGCATTGTTAGCCTATAAGAAAGGACTTAATGCAACCTACTCACAAACAGTACAGGCTGCACAACCTAAATCTTTTCAAGAAGCTAGGGACTTTGCGGAAAATTTAGTTTTTCCAGATCAACGACAACAGGTTTTATATACTCAACACTACCGTGGCAATATGTCGCCACAACAATACAATCAAAGGAGAAATTTCTCTAATCATTTGAATAGGAATAATCAAATAAGAAACCAATATAATAATAATAGGCAGCATAATAATCAAAGAAATCAATATAATAATCAAAGAAATCAATTTAATAATTACCAAAATAATAACAGTTCAAGAAACCAATATCAAGGAATTCAACGTAACAACAACCAAAGGTACCAACGTAACAATGGTCAAAGAAACGAAAACTATCAACATAACCAGAGAAACACCTATAACAGAAATATGAACCAAAGACATGTTCGCTTAACATCATCACAGGAAAACTACATGCGACCAGAGGAAAACCAGTAGAACTCTCCTCTGGTAAAAATAAAAATAATATCTACACATACAACCCCAATATATCTAATTACATAAAAGTATTTTGCCAAAATACTAAAACTTTCATAAAATTATTAATCGACACAGGTGCAGACGTGTCAATAATTAAATATAAACACAACATAGATTATAATTCAAATAAAACATTAATATTAGTTGGAATTACAGACAGTCTTCTTCAAGTCTCCTGGTGCTGCTTGTTAGCTATATCAGGATATTCGATGGTAATGTGGCGTAGTCATGTGCCAGATATGCAGATACTGCCCATATTTAGCCCCAATAGTCCTCGATACTTACTGTGGTTTGGTCACCATCACTGTATTGCGAAAGTAAGAGAACACTAAATATTTTATTAACCAATATGCAGGACCTAGGCTTACGCTTACTTACCGCATACAATAAGCTGTATGTTTTAGGCGTTGCAGTAGACTGGCGGATGCAGCCTTGATATGATGCAGGTTAATTTTTTCTACCCGCATCTTCAGTATGTGTGGATACATTTCTTTCCACCACAGTGACGTCTAGAGCACTGTCCTCCTCAGAGTCATTACTCATTAGGAGTTCCTCTTCATCGAAAAGATAGCGCATGCCTATGCTCTCCTCTGATGTAAATGTGTGAGCTGGCGAAGGCGCAGACACCGTAGTGTCCATGCACACAAGTGAGTCTTCAGATGATATAACCGGACTCACTTCGGTCATGGAAATAGGCTCTCACAGCGAATGCGCAGTCAAAAACTTTTTCATGGAGTGCTGAATGTGGATCTTCACTGCCAAATTCTCCATTAACAAATGTTGCAAATCAGAATGACAATGAAAAACTTGTTGCAGAGAAATGTTGCAGAAAAATGTTTGTAATCAAAAATCGCCAAATTGCGCAACAAATAATTCCGAACATGAGTATCAATATTGAAGATAAAAATAATATGCAAAATGCTGCTAAACAAGACAGCGGCAATAAAATTCAGACAGAAATAGATAGATACATTCTTGTTACCAGTGACGACTACTCCAACATAATTTGCAAGTTGTCAAATAATACACATAAATTTATTAAATATCTTTACATCAAGAATTAATATTGTTTATTAAATTTTTATAAATATATTTTTAAAGATTAGAGTGTTAGCAAAAGCAATTAAATATTTTTTTTTTTTTTTTTTATTTAATTTAAATTCAATATGTATTCTGTCACATAGTATGGTGACATTTCACAATTTTTTTTAATAAATACTAATTGAGACTTGATCATTTACAATTAAAGTAGTTCGCCCTGTAGAGAGCTACTCTTCTTTTTAATTTAAGATTTTTATAATAAAATTTGATTTTTATAATAAAATTTGATTTTTATAATAAAATCTGAAGCGGCGTTTTCCTTTTCAGTCTCGTAAATATATTTGAGAGGGACATCAAATTCGAAGCAAGGATGTTGGGATGAATTTGTATTCGTTCATGGTATTTTCTAGCTACCTTTTTTACTTCATCTCTTAAGGGGATTATCCTAAGGTCCCGATGGATTTGAATGTTAGTTACATACCATGGAGCATTTACTATTTCTCGTAAAATTTTAGATTGAAATCTTTGAAGAATTTCTATGTTGGATGTTGAGGCTGTTCCCCATAATTGAATGCCATAGGTCCATACTGGTTTTAGCACACTTTTATATAAAATAAGTTTATTCTTTAGAGATACTGAAGATTTTTTATTCAGTAGCCAAAACATTTTTCTGTATTGAATCCCAAGGGATTTCCTTTTGTTAAAAATATATGTTTTCCATGTCAGACGTCTATCTAAATGCATGCCCAAGTATTTAGCGCTATTTGATTGCGGAATTATTATATTATTAAGTTTAATTTCCGGGCAGGTGTCTTTTCTCGTTGTGAATGTAACATGAGTAGATTTTGTTTCATTTGCTTTCATGCGCCAATACTGCAACCATTTTGATATACGATCAAGACCAGCTTGTAGTTTGAAAGAGGCTACAGAGGGATCATTTGCACTCGCCAGGATAGCTGTATCATCTGCAAATGTGCCGGTTACAATTCCTACCGTCTTCGGTAAATCGTATGTGAAAAGCAGATAAAGGGTTGGACCGAGTACACTGCCTTGTGGTACTCCAGCTCTAATATCATGTAGTGAAGACATTTCATTCTCATTATTGACATAAAAGAGTCTTTTCAATAGATACGATTTGATGAACGTATAATAGTTAAGTGGCAGAAGCTTTTTACATTTGTAAAGAAGTCCTTGGTGCCATACTCGATCAAACGCTTGAGATATGTCCAAAAACGCTGCTGAGCAGTATTCTTTTCGCTCGAAAGTGGTCTGTATTTTTTCAACAATTCTATGAATTTGCTCAATGGTTGAGTGTTTTCTTCTGAATCCAAACTGGTGGTTCGGAATTATTCGTTTCGACTCAATTACCGGCATAAGACGTTTTAAAAATAATATCTCAAGAACTTTTGAAAGAATGGGAAGGAGACTTACTGGACGATAGGATTTTACATCTTCAGCTGGTTTCCCTGGTTTTAGTATCATCTTTATTTCGGCAACTTTCCATTGATCTGGGATGAAACTTTTTAACAAGAATGCATTGAAAAGATGAGTAATAAATAATAAAGCAACATCTGGAAGTTTTTTAAGAATTTCAGCAGTTATGAGGTCATAACCAGGTGCCTTTTGATTTTTAAGAGATTTAATTGTAGAAATTATTTCTCGTTTTTTAAATTTCCTAATTGGTAACTCCATTTGGTGAGTTTCTTCTAAAAATTTGGAAACATTGACATCTATTTCTGAATCGCCAGTCATATCATGTGGAATAAAAACGTTTTTTAGATGGCTTGCGAAAAGTTGAGCTTTTTCAAACGGTTTTTTTGCCCAAGTATTATCTGTCTTTTAAGATAATCTATTGTATTATTTACTTTTTTATTTGCTTTCCATAGAGAATAGTGGGATAAGTGAGACGTGTCGAGGCTATGTAAGAACTGCTGCGTATTTTGTTCCGTCTGTCGTTTCAGCAGAGTCTTTAGATCTTTAATAATTTTGTTAAGTTTCCTCTTGTCTTCAGGAAATCTGGTACGATGCCATATTTTTCTAGCATTTCGTTTATCCTTTAGTTTTTTTGTGATCTCCCCAGTATACATAACTAGATTCCTCATATAGACTTTTGGAGGAGTAGTAGCTTCCCATGCTGCCTCTTGAATAGATCTGGTTAGGTATTCAGTCGCTTCAATTATATCTTCTTCAGTTTTTAGTGGCATTTTGACGTTTAGAGACGATGACACATTGTTTCAAATATAGTCCAATTTGTTTGCTTGTTGTATAGTTGACATTTTTGGATCTTGTTTCTAAGGTCTTTATCTATTATGACAATCACTGGTGAATGGTCCGATGATAACTCTAAGCTGGTCTTACATTGCACATGTTCATAAAGGAAGTCTTTGGTAACGCAGTAATCAATAAGATCGGGAATTTTATCTGTATCTGATGGCCAGTATGTGGGCTCTCCTGTGGAAAAAACTTTAAGTTTCAAAAGTCTCACTGCTTTGTATAATTCACGTCCCTTTGTTGTGGTTAGTCGTGATCCCCAGAATATATTTTTCGCATTGAAGTCACCACCAGTTATAAATCGATTCCCTAATGTTGAAAAAAATTTTGTGTAGATTTCTTCCTTCACATTATGTTTTGGTGGGCTATATATGGCAGATATAAGAATTGGTCCGATTGAGTCCTCGATCATAATATTTGTGGTTTGAATTTCATCAGTGCTATAGTGAGTACGTTCATAATGCTTAATTGGTCTTTTAATTAATACTGCAGAGCCTCCATGAGCTTTTCCGTCCGGATGCGGAGACTGGTAGAAACAATAGGATGGAATTTTAAAAAAACTTTTTTTTGTGAAATGAGTTTCTGAAACTAATAATACATCTACGTTATTTTTTGATAGAAATAATCTCAGTTCAGAGAAATGTTTTGACAACCCATTGGCATTCCATAAGACAAGCTTTATGGGCATATGGTTTGTTTAGAAACAAGACTTACTAAAAGATTTGTCATGGTAGTTATTTGATTCATTACTTCCCGCATTAGTTTCAACATTTCTTTCATTTCACTCACCAATGCATCGCTGTGAAGATTATTTTTATTGGAAGAAATTTGATTTATTTGGTTGGCAGCAACTTGAGCGTAAGTTTGCTGAGAGGTTTGTATGTATAAAATTCCGTGTTCTTACTTTCTAGCAGTTTAACGATTTTTGCATAAATTTCCGGTGCACCGGGCTGTATACGAACCCGAGTGGATGAAATCACTCTCATTTCATATTTATTATTTGCAATTTCGTTAAGCAGATTTAAAAGTGGGCGAACGTCCTCAACTTTATCTACAAAAATTGGTGGTGATTTAAGGGGTTTTTCCTCTTGCTTAGCTGGTTGGTCATCTTTTTCTTCCACTACCAGTCCATCAAATCTATTCGAATTACTGAGCCAGTAGTTCAATTTTTGTTGTTTTGGTTTTTTCATTTTTTCAGGACCGTCTCTAAGTCTTTTACTACCTTTAACTTCGTTCCATTCTTCTTTTCTGCACGGAAAATCAATTTTAGCGTTATGGATTTCGCTCATTGATCCGGATCGTTTTCGTTGGGAAACCTTTAGTAACCTCGCAATGTCCTTGGTTTGTTTATTCATTTTTTCTAAACTTTGATCTCGTTTAGTTTCATCTGCTGGTGAATTTTTACTTTTTAATTGGTGTGTACCACCTTCTTTTACTGGAGGTGGTGTTCTACTTATCGGCATGAAATGTTATTATTAAATTTGTGCAGTAGTTTTATATAAAAATATAAAAAAAAAGATATATATAAAAGAATACAAAAAGAAAAAACAAATTAAAAAGATTTTATTAAAAAATTACACAATTACACGATAAGCGAATTGCAATTGGTATAATTTTTGAGTCAATTTACAACACTTTTTTTCTTC